TGGCTGTTAAAGAGCAAACAATTTGCCTGCGGTTGGCTGGAGATGGTAGGCCCAGGAGACAGGCTTGGACTGCTGGGATCCTGCAAAATGAAAAGGAACCCTTTCCTTTCCCGCAGCAGACAAGTTTCCATGGCATCTCCCTCTCAGCTTTCCAGCTTCCAGAAGTTACCCATCCCTCCAGTGACAAAACACTCTGCTCAAGAGCAGTTGTGCCCTTCCCACCATACAGTGGGCCATCACATCCAAAGTGAATCCCCCATACCCCAAGCCAGAGCCCTTCAGTCCCAAAAACACTTCCATGTTGCTGCAAAGCACTTGCAAGCAAAGCTCTCTGTCCCTTTTCCTTAGAGAGAAAGCTTGATGTTAAGCCTCAAACAAATTGTTAGGACCTCCACTTCAGCACGGTGCAGGGGCAAGCGAAGTTTGGCTTAGTAGACAGGATGCAGGTAGCAGGAACAGCCATGTGGTGGCAATATGCTCATTGCAGTGCTGCATTTCACCGCTGTAAAATCTCCCAGACATTTCAAGTGCTCTCAACATCTCCATCTTTTGTACAGAGTCCAAACAAGAGCAAACCAAGCCTGGTGGTGTGCCCAAGGAACGTGGTTCTGAACAGGCATCTTGAAATACTCAGGGCCTGTTTTCAGCTGGCAAATGGCAACAGCAGTTTTAATGGCGTGTTAGTTGCAAGATTCATTACATTAGGGGTTAGATATTTGTCACCAACTGAATCTTCCAACAGTGCTGCAGTCCTGCTAAAACATAAGTCTGCATACAGGTCAACATTATTTGTGACTAAACAGTAATGTTTGAGTATTTCAGAACCTTTGAGATGCACAACTAACTCACCATGACTAACTGGTTACTACACTCAACAATTATTTCTACATTAAAGCAATTTACAAATTTTTAATTGTAATTTCGATTTACTGTTTCTAAAACCATTTCTAATCTAGCCTGTTCTTCCGTAACAATTGCCATATTTTGAAGAATAGTCCCAAACTATTTAAAGTGAATGTTTCAAGAAAATAACCACATAGAAAGATCAGCTGTATGATGCCTACAATTAAATAAAAGTAGCAGGAAAAAAAAATACATTTAACTTTCTGGAATTTATAATGGTTTTTCCTTGGTTTGAGCTTGAAAAGCAGGAGCAGTCAGTTTTATTTTGGGGAAAACATGATGGATCTAAGCTTAAATGTGTAGGTCTACATGTCTCAATCCACACAGACACGTGTTGCTCAGCAGGGACTGTGGGTGTCCAGCCCTTCCTAGAAACGCTGCCTGGTCTGGCAGGGTAACTTGACTATTACTGATCGCTGATACATGTAACACTCATTTACCTTTCCACGGTGTCCTACAGCTTTCACCTGGGCCTTGCTTCTGGGGAGCCTTATTACAAGCACTTCTAGTAATTCCTTATCTAAAGAGGGGGGAAAAAAAAGGCGTTTAGCACAGTTTCAGCTGAGTGAAGTGGTGTTAACCCTCAGCACGGTGGTTTAAGCCACCATATTCTACTTCATATTGCCAAAACTTTAGAACCACAGAAGTGATGTCTCAGCTTAGCAGAAGCTACTTGTTGATCTGCAGCAAACTGTTTACAATTGCCATGTCTCTCCGCGTCCAATTTGTAGCACATGAATATGCTGCAGGTCACTGCCTTTTATGTGCCAAATACCGCAAAACTAGCAGGAGGAAAAAAATAATAATTAAAAAAAACAACAAACCTCTAGTCATATTGTGGTTGCTGGATAAATGTCTGTGGCACAAGTTCAGCCTGGAGAAGAAAAGGCTACAGGGAGACCTTTAGCAGCCTCCCAGTACTTGAAGGAGCTACAGGAAAGCTGGGGAGAGAATTTTAAAGGAGCATGTAGTGACAGGATGAGGGATAACGGCTTCAAACTGGAAGAGGGGAGATTCATGTTAGACGTGGGTGTTGTCAGCGTGTGTGGGTGCTGAGACTCCAGCCCAGGGGTGCTCAAGGCTGGGCTGGACGGGGCTCTGAGCAAACTGGTCGTGGGGAAAGGGGTCCCTGCTGATGGTGGGGCGGGGGGAGGTGGAACTACATGGTCTTCAAGACACTTTCCAACCTGAAACATTCTGTGGTTCCGTGAGTTACAGCTGCTCTGCTGTGGTTCCTCCACAGGCACACGCTGCTGCTATTTCATATACTCAGCCCCTAATTAATCCTTCTTTAAACACCGAAGAGAGCCCCCACACGACAGTGTGGTTCTCGTTCATAAATTCACCTGAATTCTGCTCAGCGGGCTCAAACGGGGCCAGCTAATCCGGTGTGTTAGGCGGAGGGCAGATGGGGAGGATGCCCTGTGGGCAGGGAGCAGCCCCA